CAGCATTTTCTGCATTTTCTGCCACTGTGGTTATTCTTTCAGGCAGTCAAAAATAGTTATGGGTACTGGTTCTGAAGTTCTGTGCCTGAGTTTGAATTCTTACTATTTTCCTGAAAAAACAAAGGTGACTTGGTGGAGTTTTTTAAAGAGTTGTCCAGGTTTTAGAAATATCTGACTACAAGAAAACACATACAATCACAGACATGGTAGCCTTAAAACTTATATCTTTGTAGTGTTACAATGTCCAAGACACAGGATCATCTAAGATAGCTGAAGGCATGGGTAGGGATGGATTCGGGTATGTTCCACAGAGGATCTGATATGTATACAAAATCTAAGATTGAGTAGAAATTTACAAGGTTGACAGGGTTGTAAAAGGAGCTCTATTTGACACATAATGATGGAGAAATAGACAAAGACAGTTGGGGTTTAGAAAGCTGGAATCAACTCTATTCTTATTAAAATAATCTCCAGGTGAATGTAAAGGGCCGCTTCCGCACTTCAGGTCACAGGAATATATGTATAATCAATATGTCTCACCCTACAGACTTCAGCTTCTTTAAAAGTTCTTCTTCTAGACTTCTTTCCTTCCTCCTATGGCCCAAGATTTTTCCAGACTCTGAACTACATTTTGCAAGAACTATAGATCCTGGATCTCCATTGCCTCTTTTTTTTCTTGTGTTCTTCCCCTGTTTTGTGTTTTTATTGCTGTAGAAACTAGAAAGGTTAATTATTGAATTTGAACAATAGATGAGATTTAGGTAATTTTAAAGAGAAAATTGTAACGTAAGGACAAAAAGTAAATAAAATATTAAAGTAATTCATCATCTTTACCATTAGACTCTTAAATATACCATAGATTGTTGGCAAAGATGTTAAAAAAAAAGAAGTGAAGAATATACTATAATGAAAGGCGAAAATGTAGATGATGGAGTATTCCAAGAGCTGAAGAGAATATATAGCAAGTAGTATCTGGAGGCATTGTTATACAAATAAAATTTTTCCAGCCAATTTGGAAAATGACTGTATTTAAATAACATGACACATGCAAACAATGCATGGCCAAAACAGACATGTAGTAGGATGTTCATACTGGCACTATATTTAATATTCTAAAAACAGAAAAAATTCCAAATGTCCATTAGCTATAGAATAGATAAGTTGTTGTGTAGTTGTGCTATAGCATACTATACAACAATGAAAATGCAAAATCTAATATATATGCAAATGTGACTCAAGCTGCATTAGTTTTTGTTGAATCAAACAGAATATAAGAGCATATACATTATTCCATTTTCATGAATTAGAGTAAGCTAAGATAATTTATCCTCTTAGCACTTACAGGACTCTTGATATAGTGAATATTCATCATGAGATGTTACTATAAAACTTAGAAACTCAGAACAGTAATAATTCATTATTTTCACATATTCTGGAAGTCAGGAATCCATGGATATATCAGTTGGGTGGTCCTGTCATAGGATCTCTTATGAATTATAATGAAGATGTCATCTGAAGCTGCAGGGATCTGAGAGCTTGAGTAGAGCTGGAGGCTCTACTTCTGAGCTCACTCACTTACCCTGTTGGCCTTAGTCCTCATCTTGCAGGCTCAATTCCTTGCCAAGCAAACCTCCTCCTGGAACTGTTTACAGCACAACAGATAATGTTCATAGAGCAGGTAGTAGGCAAGAGAGAGTGACCAAGATGGAATGTGCAGTGTTGATTTTAGCATATGTAGCCTATGCAGTTGCATACCATCACTTTGGCTGTGTTGTGTTGGTTGTGCAGATTGTGTACAGTGTTGGAGGAGAATACTCAGAGACTTCAATACCAAGGGCTAGAATCATTGGGAACTGTACTGAGGGCTATTTCACCTGATAAAACTTTACATTGATGGTTTTGAGAAGTTTGATGGTATAAGAATTCGATACTGATAATTTAAATAGTTGAGAATTCTCACTGAGAAATATAAATATAAACAATTATTTTAAAGAAGCAATTCCATTAAAACATCAGAGAGGAAAGATGATCATAGAACATTATTGACACAGATTCAACTTTAAAAATTAAATATTTCTATTTTTAAAACAATTATTATGATTAAAACAAATAGGAAAGTGTAAGAAAAAATAGAAAGACCAAAATCTTTATCTCAATTGTCATTGGATAGACTTATAAAATATTTAAACCAAAAATATTACTTACTAATATCAGCATATGCTTTTGTTATATAAATAATTTTTAAAATTAAGCTTCATAGAAAAGAGGTAACATTTATATCACCAGAGTGATATACAGGTGTATACTAATTGTGTGATTAGCATTTCATTCATAGGAGAACGCCGCTGTCAGAGTGAAAAAAAATTAACACCATGCAGATATGTCTCAAAAGTACTTTCTCTCTGTTATTTTATTTTTTATTTTTGAGAAATATTCCAGAAGCTTGAAGGGTAGGAACAGAAAATAATAGAAAGGTCCGAAGTGCTGCTCTTGCTAACCAGGTGATGTGTCATAAGTGATCAGAGTGAGTCAGTAGTTTATGATGCATTATTTTGAAAGTGTTGAGATCATTTCCAGTCATTGTGTTGAACGGTATATTATCTGTGAGTTACAAAACACATTTCTGTTACATAATATTGGCTCACTATTAACTAAATATGAATCACAATAATCAGTGTTTTTAAATAATGGAAACATTAGAGGATGTGAAGTAATTATAGAAATCATTTATATGCCTAATTCTTCTTTCCACTATTATTTATTCCTTCAGAGTCTCTTAATGTGATATAAAAATGGCAGCATTGTGTGAGCTTTCAAAGGAAAAATTCTCTAACTTTACTAATTTTCAAATATAATACTGTAATTAGAAATATTTTAATCTGATTTTTTTAATGATAGAAGAGGTAACTTGGTGACATCATTCAGGATCAGTACCTGTAATGAGCCTGAATTATTTTCTGACCTCTTAAATTTGATAATTATATACTCTCACATACTTTCAAATGCATATAATAAATTTAGCAAGGATTAAGAAGGGATAAAATATGCTTGGGTTACTACCAGCAAGTGGCTGAATTTGGCTTTGTGGGTCTGTTAACCTCATTGTTAGAAAATTAGCATTAATTTTCCATGAAGCATTGCAACTCAAAGGCAGTGAAGGTTTAGGGTTCAGAGAACAGGTTCCATTTCATGGTCTCAATTACCCAACCTTTACTTATTAGTAATGTGACCTTGGTTGGTTCCCTCATTGGTTAAATCAGGATGGTAATAGTCCCTTTATGTCACATGGTAATATAAAGATTAAATTAGAAATATATATAAATGCTTAGCATAGTGTCGACTTAAGTAAGAACCTTGTGACTATTAGCTACCATTCTGTATTTTTGGAATAAAATAAACAGAAAAAGAATAGACTTTAAAAGATTTCAGAACTGATTTAGAATTTGGTATGTGAAATAGACAAGATACTTTGAAATAACAAATGTATTGACCAAACAGCATACTTTATTTAATAAATCTACCATTAAAAAAAGTTTATTCCTTCAGAAAAGGTTATCCTATGTGGCATCTTTGTTGATGAGCATGGATTCATTTAAATTATACCTCCTTTTTAAATTGATGATTCTAAACCATAAATTTCTATTATGAGACATCACTTTCTTGAAACCTGTGTATATTTTAGTTTCAAAACAAGTTTGTCAATTTGGTATTCCTTCTAACCTATCATTAATTGGTTACTTAATTATATACTCTTTGTATTATCTGGAAAGCATTACAAAATTTACTCCTAATTTGATCTAGGCAACCATATGTCGATAGTACAAGTAAAGACACCCACAACTGTTGTTAATGCTAATGATATGAGAAATGTATTGCATATCAGCTTAAATAGTCCATTTATGTTATTAAAGTAAAAAATTTGTAGTTTCCATCTGTACTTCAGAAATTAAATCTTTGCTTGTGAAAGATTTTAATTGGAGCTAATATTATTTTATTAATAAAAAGCCCTGGGAGGCGTTCCAAAGTAATTGTGTTGCAATAATGAACAGGCTTTGCTGTAGTTTCCTTAAAATATCTTACCTTTGTAACATTTTACCATGTGGCAGTGGAACCTAGAGTTTTGCATGATTTTATGTCTTTCTTTTTTGCCAAAATCTACATAGGAAGATTATGTGAGTAGTTTCACTATTGTACAGATACTAATAGAAGATTGTAGGTCTCAGTAGAATTATGATTGTATTGCATACTTGTTGGTATATGAGAAAAATGTTTTACTGAAGAGGATTATTAATAAAACTTTGCAAACAGCAGGTCATTGCAGCTGTTGAGACTACATCTTGTTGAACTTAACTATGTGTTTTGACTTAATCAAGGATATCAAAAGGCTGGAAGCCATAGTGTCCTGTTATTTATAGTGGCAAATTTGATGAGGGATTTACAATTTACCATACCTATGCTTATTCAGTGTTCTGGTATTTTTGAAATAGTTTGCACATAACATTGTTAATTTGAATTCATTTATATTTTTGATAGTAGGGAAAAGCTTACCAAATGAAAATTTAAAGAATGTTTTTATTATTCTTATAAGAAAAAATAAGAAACTACAACTAAAATTTCTTCTGTTTAGCAAGTAAACTGTTTTCTTTTTTACTATGTTACAATTGCAACTCTTTTTCACACCAATTCCTTTCTATGATTTCTTCGTGTTTGTATTATAGAGGATAAAAAGAGACTCTATGATCTTATGTTTGATAAAAACAAGAATGACATCAAAGAGAAGGATAATTTTTAAATATTTCCATAGACATACCTCTCATTGTCTTTGATGTCTTTCACTATTCAAAGATATACATATCAAAATGTTTTGTTTTTTCTACATTAAGAAATGTTAAAAGTGTACTCATCAAATATTTACTTAAAATAGAATTCCACATTTTCTAGAATGTATACAAATATAAAAAGTACAATGAAGATAATCTTTTTCTCATTTATTTTAATAGTAATTCCTGAGTTTGTAACACAAGTGAATGTCGCCCTGGAAGCCTTGAGCAAGAACTCATTAAATGTATTTGATGACAATCAGTTTGTGGACATCTCAAAGAAGATCTATGATATAATTCATGATATCAGATGTTCAGTCATGATGATTCGGGTAAGCTTGCTCTACCTTTGCTTGAATTATGTCAGCATCCTCTACCATCTGGATTGCAAGTAAGGTTTCATTTCTATGCTATAATGTCAAGTCTGAAATAGAATTTCAGAGACTTGGATATATCTGCCAAGTCAGATCTACTATTGCAAACTATATTTTTACTTCTGTATTTGGTTATAACTTATGAAAATGAGAATTTAAACTGCAGAATGTGCAGAAATGATAGGATTGTGTGTGTAGGTGCCACATAGCATGGTCAGGAGCCAAAGAAAGATAATTAGTTTTCTTTATTTTCTTTAGCAAATGGGAAGGATCTTTCTTACTATTGTACTAGAAATGATAAAAAATATGTTAAAAAATAATATTTCTGTGGCCAAACCCTCCCATTGTAGATTGAAAATCACCGAGTATCATTTAACAAATCCTAACTTGTAATTGCAAGGCATAACAAATGCTATTTTGTCCATACCTGGGAATTTTCTGTTTAAGGAAATACTTGCTACAATCCCAGAAGGGTGAATGTACTGTTCACTGTGGTACACTGTATATACATTGACCAGAGTTATTGGTTTTTACTCATATGTTAATTTTTTTAAAAATTCTTTTTTATGAGTGTAAGTTTACAGTACATGCAGTTTACAATCACCTTGGCAATTAGATACATGTATATAATACAGCTTGATTCTAGTTTAAACCGTTTCCCCTTCCATCTTTGTTCCTCCCTCCTCCTTTAAATCTCCTTTCCCCAGTTTCATTCTTGTTGGTATTATTAATTTTATCTTGTGTTCTTACAAATGCCTCATATTTGGCCTTCTTTATAGCTGAGTAGTATTCCTTTATGTATAGATACCGTATTTTCTTTATCTAGTCATCTGTAGGTGGATATATAGGCTGCTTCCCAGATTTACCTATTATCATTTGTGCTGCTGTAAACTTTGGTATAAATGTTTCACTGTAGTGTGATGTATTTAGTACTTTGGGGAAAATAACCCAGAAGGGGCATAGCTAGGTCATATGGAATTTCTAATTTTAGTTCTTTGAGGAATTTCCATATTGATGTGCACAATGGTTGTAGTAGTTTGCATTCCCACCAACAATGTAGGAAGGTTCTTTTTCACCACAGTCATGTGACCATTTGTTTGTTTGTTTGTTTCTGATGACTGCCATTCTTTCTGGTGAAAGATAGAATTTTAGCATTGTTTCAATTTTCTAATGGCCAGAGATGTTATGCATTTTTTCATGTATTTGTTGACCATTAGCACTTCTGGTCATTTTGCTTGTCTATTTCTTGATTGGATCTTTCACTTGAGGTCGTCTAATTTTTTGAGTTCTTTATGCATTCTAGATATTAGTCCTCTTTCTGAGGAATAGCTGGCATGATTTTTCCATTTTGTAGATTGTGTCTTCACTGTACTAATTGCTTCCTTTGCTGCACAGACCTGTTTTAATGTGATGTAACCCCATTTGTTGATTCTTGCTGTTATCACTTGTTCCATTGCAATTCTGTTTAGGAAATCCTTTTCTACACCTATGACTTCAAGTGTTTTTCAAATTTCTGTTTTAATGTTTAGATTTTTAATCCATTTTGACTTTAGTTTACTACCTCATGAGAGATATGGATCCAGTTTCAATATTCTGCAAACCATCATCCAGTTTTTCCAGCAACATTTGTTGAATAGACTATCTTTCATCAAATGTATGATTTTGACCCCTTTGTCAAAAATCAAAGAGCTCAGTGTGTCTAGGGATGTTTCTGTATCCTCTATCCTGTTCCGTTAATCCACATGCCATTTTTGTTCCAGAATTATGGCTGTTTTTATTATTGTTGGTTTGTAACATAGTTAATTAGTTGCTTATAAAACAAAGTAAGTGCTTCAGGAAATGTTTATGTAAAGATATGGAGATACTTTACCTTAAGATAGATTCATCTGCAGACAGACCCTGAAGTAAGGATTTGTATTATCAATAGTTTTATTTAGGAGCAGGTGAAAGTAAGACCAGGAGAGGAAGGAAACCAATAGGGCTTCAGTATGAGTCAGGGCTTGATGTTGTTGTTAAATTATGAGAGATACTGTAGAATAAACCTCTGAATTCTTTCAACCAAGAAGAACAAAATCTGGATGCTTAAACATCCATTCATCCTTGATTAAGTGCTGCCCTCACAGACATTGCCTGGGCTTTTTGCTCAAAGCCAATCAAACTCGTGGCCAAAGAGAGCAAACTTCAGCTGGAGTGAATAGGCTCACATTAGAAAGACTTAGTAGGACCAGTGAGTGAAAACTGAAAGAATTATTACAGTCCAGTTCAAAAAATTTTGGACATAATGTCTAGTATGACTGCAAGATGGAGAATTATCAAGAAGAAATGGGTGATAGAATCAGTCTTGAATTCCGTAGTGGCACTGCAATGAGCTGTCCAGAAATATAAGGTTCTTCGTGAGCCTTGTAAAGAAGTGGGCCACCAAACCATGGGCATCTTGGCAGGGCAGGCGGAAAAGATTATTAGGAAAAGAGTAAAGGTATCAAAATATAGGATCCAACATCTCAGGGCTTCGGAAAAGCTGAAAGCAAACCAATGATAAGGAGAGAAATTCCAGGACATATGCAGATAGTGCTCTAAACTTTTACTACAATAGTGTGAAAACCACATGCATTTGCCCAAAATACTACTGCAAATTTTGAATCTGTGTCTTTACCTGAGATAGCAATATTTGGTATCACACTTTCTTGTAATGTTAGGAAGGTAGGTTTAGCCACAGCACCTAGTCAGCCACCCTATGTGCGACTAACCTATGTTGTTCAGTAGATTATGAGTATTACATGTAATTTTGATGTATAAAGTGTTATCAATTTATGGTGATTTTATTGGGATTCGTCATAAGATGAGGACTATCTGCTCTATGGAGCAGCCTGCAAATATTTGTTCCTGTGTTTGGAAACTGAGGCACTGCACTAATACAGTGACTGCACAGCAAATAAACTTTAACAATTGTTTCCTTATTTGGGCAAAGGTATTTATTCCTGACCTGTACAGACTAGTGGACTAGAAATAATCCTTAATTTGGAGAGTAGGTGAATCCAGGAGAGATAATAGTGTGAAAAAGAAATATGAACTTTAGGAATTGTAGTACCATCTCAGCCCCTACATTTACACTATCCCTGTGTGGCTATTTGAGAAGATACACTTGTGAAATCACAAACAAGAGCAAGAATAGATGTTGCTTTTTTTTTTTCTTGCTAAAGCTGTTCAGGGATGTAAGAAACTTATAATCACTTTTAGATGTTCCAGTAGTTAAATTTTTTCTCATTATTGGGATGACTTTCACATAGCAAATCAAATTATCTTGCCATTATTTCTATGTGTTCCTCACATACAACAGTTCTCCACAGGGCAGAAGAACAATTAATTGTAACTATTAATAGCCTTGGAGGGCACTCTTTCCCTTTACTCATTTATTTTTCAAGGCAAATACTTCCATTTCTGTTCATTTTTTTCTCATAGGAATATTCTAGTATTTTGTGTTAATCACTAGTCCTTATTTAATTTTCACCAAACTTCAAATGAGACTACTATCATCTTATTCTAATTAGGTCCTGCCTAATATCAAATAAAATATACTAATATCAATTAAGGAGATATTTATTTATTAGCAGATTAATATCTAATACCAAATAAAGTTATGTGTTGTTTCTACAGCTGTTATAATACTGTTAGCTTTTTACTCACCAGGGTTATTGAATTAAGTATGACTTGCTTTCATTTCTTCCCTACTATTGTTTATATATGCATTCTCCTTATTTATTTATTTATTTGGTAACAGGGATCAAACTCGGGTCCTTGCACTTGCAAGGCAGGTGGCAGAACCACTGAGCTAATTCCCAGGCCTTCTCCTTTTAAAATTTGATTTGTCTTTGCTCTTACATTACAATTCCATGAAACTCTGGGGACCTTTTATTGTTGCTATTGTTTTGTTTTTCTTTCTCTTCCTCTTCCTCCTCCTCCTCTGCTTCCCCTTCCCCTTCACTTCTCCTCCTCCGCCTCCTCCTTTTCCTCCTTCTTTTTTTTTTTTTTTTTTTTTCTGGAACTGGGAATGAACTTAGGCAGGCATGGTACCACTGAGCTGTATCATTGGCCCCTTTGTTGTGTTTTTAAGTCACTCTTCATATACTTACGTACTTGCTTTCTATCTTGGTTTTTGAATGCACTGAATTAATATCACTTAGAAACATAAGGTGTAGACTTTGTTCATATTTTTAGATTAATAATAAATTATTAATTTGTACAGTCTTGGCCCTGAATTAAAATTCCCAATTGATAGATATAGGTGAGGAAATCGGTGTTATGAGAGCCTTAAGAAAAGGAAGCTACATCCAGCTGTGATCATGCAAGTGTATGATTTAAAAGAGCCTTCCAAAATGTTGAAATAGATATATTTTTTTCTTTAAATAGTTTTGTAGCTGAAAGAATAGAAAAAGAGCTGCTGTGCTTCAAAGCGTGGAAGAGAGGAGGGAAACCCATCATCTCTGTCCCTAGATCCAAGTTTCCTAGGCAACCAACAGGGGCAAGTTCATTTACAGCCATTCCTTAGAGGATGATCTGTAACCTCTGGATTAATTGTTAATTGGGTTGTAAGATGAAAATAAAGTCTAACTCAGGTTCAGGTAAATTAAAATCTATCCGTTGTTTTACTTAAAAACGGTCCCCTTATCACAGAAGATAATAAAATTGAACTGGTATAATTTTCTCTTTACAAGGCCAAATTTAATTCAGACCAAAACTCTGGCCTTAGAACTGCAAAACATTTACACTTTCTCCAAGGTATCTAAAAAATGTGACCATTGAGCAACTGGTAAATAATGATGTAAGTTTGGGAGGGATAAGTTATGCTCTAGAGGAGGTTTGTGAGTAGTAAACATATCTTAACTGAATTTTCATGACTATTTGAATTAATGTAATTTTTTGTATATGAATAAATGTAGATTGTTGTACATGACAAAATA